AAAATATTGATTAGAACAAAAGTTATTTCATTTGTCAGAATGTCAGATCTCTTTGGGACACTGTATATTTTCAAGAAATTTCCATAACTTTTCATTTAGCTATATTTATATTAAAGTTTTCATTGTGTTAAATCACTTTTATCAATTAGTTATTTTAAACTTTTTGAAACTAATACCTTATACCATATAATAAACATAGTTTTGCTATGAAGCTGTAACTTTAATATTATCAGGTATTTAGTAAGATTAATTTTTATTGCGAAAACGCGTTATTTATTTATAACACAAATCACAATGCCATAGTTGAATGTAGTKATTTTACAATTATGTAAAGTAGTATCACAGTTTTTTCGATTTCAACTTTTAATGGGAAAATTAATCTAGTTTGTACTTTTCAGAGGTCAAAATTTAATATTCCTAGTCATTTTGAAATGTATATTGTTATAATTATTGAAGAAAAAGTCATTGGGTGGTCTATTTTTATTGCCACTGGTCATAGCTTATTGAAATTCCTGTTTATATTAATAAAAATTTGTTTTTATTTTAGAACGGTGTTGTCTCCTATACTGAAACCTCGTTACCAAACCCATCGTAAACAAAGTAGTGCTTCCAGTATATCTTCCTATTCAAACACTCCTCGGAAAAAAAAACCAGCCCCCCTACCTCCAGTATCAAGACTATCTCTTGGAAACATTGAATACTCAAATAGTATGCAAATGTCATCTCCTAATAGTTTAGAAGACTCCAGTTGCAGTGGCAGTGAACCGTCTTCAACCAGTAATCAGGAACGTTACAGATTACACAAGAGTACACATGGGAAATGGAAACGAAAGAAAGGACCAGCTCCTCAGTGTMCAATACCACAGAGGAGACGAATTAAACCTATGCCAATGGAAGATATCAAACAAGAGTTGTTAGATATTGAGATAAAACAACAAGAGCTTGAGAGACAAGGAGTTAAATTAGAAAAAGATATACGGTTAAAGTGTAATGAAGGTATGTGTATAGAATTATGTAATTATGTATATAGTATATTGTACATGTTTATTATTTTGATATAATTCTTTTAGATTTGAATAATGTTGATGTAGAAGAAATGGTGCTACAATTGTTTGAATTAGTTAATGAAAAAAATGAATTGTTCAGAAAACATGCCGAGCTTATGTACCTGTATGTGTTTAACAAAAAAACAATTACGATGTAACTTCTTAACAAAAACATTATTTTTAGACGAAAACAACATAATTTTGAAGAAGAACACGCTGAATTAGAATACCAAATACGTGTTTTGATGTCTAAGCCTGACCACACTAAGACAGATACAGAAAAAGCTCGAGAAGAAGAACTTATCCGAAGGTTCGTGTTAAGAAATACATAAGAATGAATATAATAATAAGTAAAAACACAAAAACCGTTTTTAAAATATATTATTTGTTGCAATAGATTGGTTGAAGTTGTAGAAAGGCGTAATGAAATTGTTGAAAATCTAGAAAAAGATAGACTGCGTGAAGCCGAAGAAGATCGTAGTGTGTTCAATCAAATAGGAACTTTTGCTCAAGGTTCAAAAAATATCCATCGTATAGTTTACTAATATAAAAATTTGTTTGACATCATTAGTGGTTTGCGGAATGACGTTTTGTTCGTTTTTTAAGGTGATTGCATGTGTAATGTGTATGACATCAATTTGCTTTTATAATCCTGTGATGCCTGTATTAATTCAAAATTAAAATATTGCTATATTAAAGTTAACTGTTTCTGTCACTCCAATAAAATGGTATTCATTAAATAAATTAATAAAAGATGCAATAGATGAATAGAAATTAAATATGGAAAAAAACTAATATAAAAACATACAATCATAAATTAATAATAATAATAATAAGATTTTTTTCAATTTTTTAATTTGGCAATATGTTATTGTACTCAATTATTAGACTCATTGTAATGGAAATATGAAAGGATCCAAGTTTTTTCAGTATTCTCTGCTGGAGAGATAGAAATAGTTTATGTTTGTATAGTTGCATGCTCTCTTATCAGGTGTTCGTATRTTTATGTGTTATGYCATTTTCATATAGTTAGTGTAATATATTATTTTTTTTTGCTATTTAGTATTAAATTTTAACTTGAATCCCATAATTCTAATACTTTAACTATAACACCTGAGTATAGCTAGCTTTTAAAAATGATCATGCTGTATTCTATAATTATTGTATTTTTTTTCTCCAAAATCACTGTTGCTAATTAGTCATATTTTGTTGTATTCAAATTGCAAATTGCAAAATGTAATAATGTGTCATCTTAAATTTAAGTTAAGTAAAATTATT